ATATATATATATATATATATATATATATATATATATATATATATATATATATATACATATATATATATATATATATATATATATATATATATATATATATATATCTATATATATATGTATGCACGATATATATATATAGTACATATATATATATATATATATATATATATATATATATATATATATATATATATATTTGATTTGCTATTAATTTGATATATATATATATATATATATATATATATGTATATGTATATATATATATATATATATACATATATATGTATATATATATATATATATATATATATATATATATATATATATATATATATATAATCAAATTACCTCTCCGTGTCGTGTTTTTGATATGCGTTTTATCAGCACTCTTAATTTTTTTGTTTTTTTGTAGTATTTACAAACATAATACAAGAGAATACATCTCACAACAGTTATGAACATAATAAAAATAAATACAATTAAATTAAATAAATTCTTTCAGTCATACAATGTTTAAACATGCCAGGTGTTGACAAAAAAAAATAGGTAAGATAGTGATAATAATTATATAAAAAAAACTTATTCGATCAAATGAAATTTACATAATGCCTCATATGTTTTTTTTAGCTTTTCTGTTTTTTAGCACTCTTGATTATTGAGGATACAAATGCGCAGTTCAACGCTTTCTCTACCTCACGTGTTCATCTCTACAGTTTTTTTTTTGAAGAAATGATATATGACATATTTGGGATATCTGGCCGTCACCTTTAGGACAGCGGAGACATTTATTTATTTACACAATTATATAATTATTTATATTACAATTATATAACCCAATGCATTGGGTTAAAATAACCTAGTTTGGTAATTTGTTGGGGTATTTTAACCAACTATTTTAACAGAGTAGATAGATAGATATAGAGATAGAGTAAAATACTTTGAAAGCAAAGTTTTACAAAATGATTATTGCTATCATTGCCATCATTTTACATCTTTTATAGGTTTATGTTTCTACCTTTTGTAATTATGTTGAATAGTTGCTTGAATAATTATTAATAAATACATTTAGATTATGACAAGAATTCGACACAAAGAGAATAAAAGTCATTACAATATAAAGTCTTTTAATTTACATTTGCATACATCTTTCATAATTTCGACATTTATATCCATTTTACCTTATTTTACCTTAGTTTTATTTCACAGTAATGACTTGGTTCTGTACACTCGTCTATAAATTTGTTGTATGTGGAAAATGTAAATAAAAAATTTTAAATTCTCATATAGGGATAAATAGACACATATTAAGTAAAACACTTTGAAAGTAAAGTTTTACATTATTATTATTATCATCATCGTCATCCCTTTACACTTCTTTGTAGATTTATATATTTATATTTATTTTGTAATTACGTTTATTATTTGCTTCAATAATTATTAATAAATTAGGATTAGATTTAGATTGACAAGAAAATGACATATAGAGAATAAGAAGTGTTTTTAAATTGAACTGATTTACAATTTATTTATACATTTTTATATATCTTTCATAATTTCGAAATTTATATTCGTTTTACCTTATTTTTCATAATTACAACTATAATACTCAATACTTTTTATTACATATTTACACATTTCTTCAACACATTTCTAATCATGATAGTTTTAATAACTCATCTCTAATAACTGATTTATTTTCTTTGTCATGATGACAGTAAATAATATTAGACTAGATATTCTTCAAGACACTTCTATACAGCTTAAAGTGACATTTAAAAGCTTAATAAGGTTAACTAGGCAGGTTAGGGTAATTAGGCAAGTTATTCTATAACCATGGTTTGTTCAGTAGACTATGAAAAAATATATAGCGCAAAGGGGCTAAAAATATTGACCTTAAAATGGTGTTTAAAAAATTAAAAACTGCTTTTATTCTAGCCGAAATAAAACAAATAAGACCTTCTCCACAAGAAAAAATATTATCAGACATACTGTGAACATTTCCTGAATCTGTTCAACATCATTTGGGAAATATTTAAAAAACAAAACAAAAACAAAACCAAGAGCACACCCTCTGAGCGCGTCATAGGCTCAGTGTGTTTACAGTGAATGTCTGGCAGGGTTGTTTAAGACTTACCGTAAAACAGGTTGTAAGTTTCTATTTCTCTGCTCCTCCTGTGTCACCGAATTGCGTAATGATCTTAAGTAAGGTGTGCAGTTTTGCATTCCAGTTCTGTCCGTCACAACGACACGCTCTCATTTCTATTGACAGATCCACTAGCCATTTTTCCCCCCATGTTGTAGGTACCTGGTAAAATGTTGAGCGGGTTTGCCGATTTGAGCCTGGAGGATGAAGTGGAAGACATGGACACATCCGACACACCGTGGTTTTGGTTTTACAAGGCAAAGTGTGGCATCTGGCACAGAGTTGAGGTATCGTCTTGTTTATACACACTAAAAATACATATTTTTGCTGTTTGTTCAAACTACTTATTTAAAATGAGCTGAATCAGCACAATTCCTGAGGTACTTTTTGGGACAACTTAATTGCTTTATGTTCATCCACTTAAATTTGTTAACTTAATGGATTCATGTTTGGACACTTGAAAGAATTGTGTGGAAGGCAGCATTTTATTTTTTACAGTTAAAGCACAGTGAAGTCTGAAACTTCAGCTGAACCTCGCGAAAACGGAAATGCTTGTAGTTTCTGCCAACCCGACTTTACAACATAACATTTCAATCCAGATGGATGGGGCAACCATTACTGCATCCAAAATGGTGAAAAGCCTTGGAGTAACGATTGATGACCAACTAAACTTCTCTGACCACATTTCTAGAACTGCTCGATTGTGCAGATTCGCACTCTATAACATCAGAAAGATCCGACCCTTCTTATCTGAACATGCAGCTCAACTCCTTGTTCAAGCTCTTGTTCTCTCCAGACTGGATTACTGCAACTCTCTACTAGCTGGGGTTCCAGCTAACTCTATCAAGCCTCTTCAGCTGCTCCAGAATGCAGCAGCACGAGTGGTCTTCAATGAACCTAAACGAGCACATGTCACTCCGCTGCTCATCCGTTTGCACTGGCTGCCAGTTGCTGCTCGCATCAAATTCAAAGCTCTGATGTTTGCCTACAAAGCGACTTCTGGCTTTGCTTCTTCTTATCTGCTCTCACTTCTGCAGATGTATGTGCCCTCCAGAAACTTGCGTTCTGTGAATGAACGTCGCCTCGTGGTTCCATCCCAAAGAGGGAAGAAATCACTTTCCAGAACGCTCACGCGAACGCTCACGCGAACGCTCAATCTGCCCAGTTGGTGGAATGAACTCCCTAACTGCATCAGAACAGCAGAGTCACTCGCTGTCTTCAAGAAACCACTAAAAACTCAACTATTTAGTCCCCACTTCACTTCCTAATCTGCAATTGCCTCTCTGGCTCCACCGCTAACTGTACTACTACTACTACAAAAAAAAATTACTAATACTTTCCTTCTTAGACTTTACATACCTGAAACTTGCCTACAGCACTTATTCATTGTTGCTCTTATAGTTGTGTAAGTTGCTTCCTTGTCCTCATTTGTAAGTCGCTTTGGATAAAAGCGTCTTCTAAATGACTGAATGTCATTGACTTTCCTATATTTTAGGGCTGCATGATTAATCGGGTTACTTTTACGATAACGATATTTGTGGCCCACGATCAATAATTAAATATCAATATCGTCACCATTTTTACGACCAAGGCGTTATTTTAATGGGCGGAGTTTACGAATTGTACCGCATCACAAGCATGAGGTGACTGCGTCTAGATTGCAAGTGTTTTTTTTTTTCTTCAAGGAATGCAATGTTGATCAGGTAGCTTTCGCCCCTGTTTAGTTAAAACTTCCCACGGTAAAGGCTGATTTATACTTCTGCGTCAAACGCCGGCGTATGCTACGCCGTTGACGCATAGTCCTTCGCCGTGGCCGTCGGCGTGTAGCTGAAGTGCACCTCTCAAAAAATGTAACTACACGTCGCAACAACGCGTAGCGCAAGCTCTGTGATTGGTCGGCATGGTATCGCTGACGAGTCTGGGCGGGATCGAGAGCCGCGCGAGCGGCGCTAGCCCAATGTAGCGATTGTTTAAAAGTGTAGAGTCCCATGAAGGAGCTCCGGATGGAAAGTTTTGTTTTGTGTTTACCTCATAGTTAAAGTTGTTGCACGTCCGCCGGTTCCTGCCTCAAAATGAGCGAGTTTGAGCCACTTGTGCATCCCGGAAGTGTTCAGGAAAAGCAAAAGAGCAGCGAAGAAACTCGACACAGAGGAACATTTACACCTCACTGCCCACTAGCGTTTCGGAAGTGTTAATGCAGACCAACAGAGACAGCGCGCAGAAGTATAAATGCACAGCTACGCACGTTGCATGCGCCGTGGGTTACGCCGGTCACTTGACGCAGAAGTATAAACCAGGCTTTACACAACAAACCTCATTAAACACATTAAAAACCATCACAAAGTGGCTGTCATCAGTGGGTAAGAACTCAGGGGAATTCTGCTTTGCATTACTAACATCCCTAAACCAGACAACATTTGTTTTATAAGTTAACCAAATATTCGCGGAGGTTCAGCAGTTTTTTCTGATGCGTTTGCCAGTCATAGACAGAAGACACTGTATTCAACTGTTTCAATGTAAAAAAAAAAGTAATTACGGCCCTGTTCACGCAGGTATTGAGGTTTGTTTTCATCAATCTAACGCTGCTTTTACTATTTACAGGAAAATATTATGTAATTCGAAGTTTCAGATCAATTAACTCAATTTATGAAAAGACTTGCCTGTTTTATGTGTAAATAATGAAATGGATATCTAATTTCCTTTATTTCCAATTAGACCGTGCACTTTATTCTGTTTTACAGTTTTACAGGCATATACGGCTTTTTAAAAATAACGTTCATTTAACAATTGTTTTTAGCACATAGTAAGTATTTAAATTACCTGTATTTTGATTAAAAACTTCAGGATTTAAAAAGGATAAGGAATTGATTGCGCATGCGCAAAAAAAAAGCAATCATTACATGCGTCGGTCTCACGTTTGAGGATAAATTCGCTGCTTTGAATAGAATAAAATTATCAAAAAGCAAATTAAAGATTTTACTCAAAAAATAAAACTTTCTCAAAGGTGTATCTTATGGAAAAACACCAATTGACGAGCGCTGCTTTCGGTTTTAAAAGAATCAAGCAGATTAAAAAAAACGAATTTGCGGAATTTTGCATCGGGGCTGTTAAAAGAGCGTTCGACTTTATAAATTCTTTCGACTAAAATACAACAGCTATTATTATGAATGACAGAATGTAAAGCCGTCTCTCCTGCATGCTTAAACAGCGCGTCCTGCTGTTAATGAGGAGGTGGAGAGAATGCGCTGTTTAGTTCCACCTCAAGTTATTAAAATAAAAACTGACCCGAACAACAAGCTGCTTATCAAGCTCAAAAAGTTACACAACTCTTGCACCCGGGATGCCCAATAAACACGGTATCTTTTAATTCGATGTTTGTGAACTAACCGCAGATGCTTTGTCATGTTGGTCGCGAGACTTTGCTTTATAACCTATTCGTTTATCACAATAATTATGTTTTAATAATCACACAAAATTAATAATTAAGCAATAATTAGATTTGCCATCGTTCTTCACCACATGTAGCCACTCATTTTAGCCAGCCTGATCTCACGAGGAAACGTAAGTATTTTACGTTTTGTCAGTTTAGTGGCTAATTCGAGTTCAGTCGTACGAAAATGTACGATTTTAAAAAGGAGGCGTGGCACCTTACCCCACCCGTCATTGGATGATGAGCAAATTGTACTGAATTGTACGAATTAGATTGTACGAATTCATACAAATTACCCACTAAATCAAAAAGTTACGAATTGCCGTGAGATAGCGTTGTTTTAGCACATCTTGCAGTCCATCTCTAAACAGAAGTTTAGATTATTATTGAAGGTGCTCTGCAGCGGCGAAGTTCCTGGCAGAGTAGCGAGTGGAAAAACATCCACCACATTCTCTGTTTATATTAATTCATGCACTGTGTTTGTCATAAAGTGATTTGTGCTGGTCAGGTGATAAGAGAATTATGTAGAAATACTGAAGCAACATCTCAAGACATCAGCCAGGAAATTAAAACTTGGCCACAAATGGCTCTTCCGGACAGACCATGACCTTTAGCATACTGCCAAATTAGTTCAAATGTGCTTTAAGGACAACAGAGTGAATGTTTTGGAGTGGCCATCACAAAGCCCTGATGTCAATCCTATAGAAAACTTGTGGGCAGAGTTGAAAAAGCTTGTGCGAGCAAGACAGCCTACAAATCTGACTCTGTTACACCAATTCTGTCAGGAGGAATGGGCCAGAATTCCTGCAAACTATTGTGAGAAGCTTGTGGAAGGAGACCCAAAACATTTGACCAAAGTTATACAGTTTATAAACTAAAAAAAGTACCAAGGAAATGTGCGTAAACTTTCGACTGTCTAGAAATCAGTTACAAATTCTCAAAAAACAAATTTCATTACTCTGGCATTTAGCAAATGTAAATCATTTAGCTAATCCTAACAGATCTAAAATAGTAAACTTTTAGTATGATTTACCATCCTTTTATTTAGAGTGTAAGAAATCTTCTGGTTTCCTCTGTATATGCTGAGCACTGTAACTCCATGTCATCCCAACACGAATTTAAAAGTTAAACTTAACATATTTAAGTGGATTGAACATAAAAAAATTAAGTTGTCCCAAAAAAAGACTGAAGAATTGTGTCGATTCAGCTCATTTTTAAATGAGGGATGACTTTTGCTGCTTGTTCAAGCTACTTATTTATAATGAGCTGAAACAACACAATTCCTGAGATTTCTGGAACAATTTACTTGTTTTGTTCACTCGACTTAAATTTGTCTAAACAATTAAGTGAACTTAATTTGATTTTGAGTTAGGATGACAGGAAGGAATTGTGTGAAACCCAGAGTTTTACAGTAAGAAACCTGCTGTTTAACAAGATAACAAAACAAAAAGTCAAAACAAACATCTTAAACTTACTTAATAAAACATAAACGTCTTAAATAAGAAATGCAGCATGTTTCTTATTGCAAAAAAAACTCCACACAATTCCTTTATTTCATCCAAAAACAAACTGATTAATTTAACCTAACAAATTTAAGTGGATTAAACATAAAAAGATAAACAAAACACACCTTAAAAATTTAAACAAGTAGCTTGAACAAGCAGCAAAAATAATCTGAGCAAGTTCCACACATTTAAATGAATTGTGTGGAAATTTAAGTGGATCAAACAGAAAACGAGACTCAAGAATTGTGTTGTTTCAGCAAGTAGTTTGAACAAGCAGCAGAAATCTTAAATATAATGAACATTTCTTAAAGGACGACCCAAAGAATTTTATGTCCAGTGACGATCTGGACCGTTATTACCTCAGAAACCCAACAGGTGTGGTAAACGTGACTGCTGCTGGAGCTCAGTTCGAGGTTAACTTTGCAGGTACTGCATTATTACAATGTACTTACAATCACAACTAGAGCCAAGTGGAAACAGCTACATTTTGGCTGATGTAAAGATCTATGTTACGTGATAGATGTCATCTGTTTAGTTTTTATTGAATGTGTTCATCTTTACTGCAGAAAGCATGCAGGTGAATTTAAAAACTGGGAAAAGCAGGAGGATTAAACGCTCATTTCAGACTGGGAGTCACATAAGGTGAGTTTTTCATTTATTTTATTGAATTTAAATTTTTATCTGCGCAAAAATTGTTGCGAACAATTTATGTGGGCTGAATTTAACCAAACAAATTCAATTTAGTCATGTTCAACTTCATTTGTTTGTTTCAATTCAGCCCAAATAAATTGTTTACAACCACTCAACTTTAAAAAAATAAGTAGTAAATCCAAACAATCATCTTTGAATATTTGTTTCCAGAGTAAATAATTAATTAATTTGATTTATTTTTCACAAAATGTAAAAAAAAAAAATAATAATTCTGATTTCAGCATATCTTTTTAAATAGTCATAACATGATAATATGGCTCACCAGGCATATTTCAAATGATGTTATTACTGCATTTGCTTATTTTTCATTAAGAAAACTAATTTTGGGACATATAAAATACATAAAAACCTAAACCACACCTAAAAAAAGCAATGATTAAATATGTGCTAATAATCCCACTGGAATGAAGGGAATTCATGAAAATAATAAAAAACTAAATTAGCAGTCCAAAATTAGACAACAACTAAATAAATAAATTTAGTTTCAAATTAAAATAAATTAATAGAAATGAATTTAATTTCAGATTAAAATAAATTAATAAAAACAAATTACACTCGATTAAAATAAATTTGATTAAAATTAATAAAAATAAATAGTTTTATTAAAATTGAAATAATAGTTAAATCACTTAAATGAACTTGGTTTGTATAATAGTTCGTATAATCATCCAAATAAATATAATTGTAATAAAAATAATTCATCAAATCAAAAAGTGCTCTATTGGATTGAGCTCTGGTGACTGTGGAGGCCATTTGAGTACTCACTGTCATGTTCAAGAAACCAGTCTGAGATGATTCACGCTTTATGACATGGAGCGTTATCCTGCTGGAAGTAGCCATCAGAAGATGGTGGTCATAAAGGGTTGGACATGGTCAGGAACAATACTCGGGTAGGCTGTGGCGTTGATGCTCAATTGGTACTAATGAGCACAAAGTGTGCCAAGAAAATCTCCCCAACACCATCACACCACCACCACCAGCCTAAACTACTGATACAAGGCAGGATGGATCCATGCTTTCATGTAGCTGACGCCAAATTCTGACCCGACCATCCGAATGTGGCAGCAGAAACTCATCAGAGCAGGCAACGTTTCTCCAGTCTTCTATTGTCCAGTTTTGGTGAGCCTGTGTGAATTGTAGCTTCGGTGTTCATAGCTGACAGGAGCGGCACCCGGTGTGGTCTTCTGCTGCTGTAGCCCATCTGCCTCAAGGTTGGACGTGTTGTGCGTTCAGAGATGCTCTTCTGCAGATCGTCATGTCTACATGCCTAAATGCATTGAGCTGCTGCCTTGTGATTGGCTGATCAGAAATTTGCGTTAATGAGCAGTTGGACAGGTGTAGCTAATAAAGTGTAAGCGTAATCTCTTAGGGATAAGATAACAAAAAGTATTTTAACACTTAATACACTTAATGTTTTTAATCAACACACTGAGGCCAATTTTAAAGCCCAAAGCAGACTTTGTCGGAATATAAATCATAAAACGAATGAACATACGATTCCAAAACAACACAATTTAGGCTTGTTTGAAGTATTAATTTATAGGCAACATCATTAATAAACGAATGCTGTCAAATGGCACTTTTAATTACTGTTTACATGTCTTGTTTGCAATCTCTCCTGTTTTGTGTAACAGATGCAAATGTGACGACATTTCGCCGTCGATACCAGCACACTGGGAGAGCGTCGATCCCAAAAAACCTTTTCAGGTGACAGGAAGTGCTCATCGCAAAGATAAATCACTGTCAGACGCTTTAACTCTGAACAAGTGCTTCTTTCCCGCTCAGCTAATCTCTCTGAGAAAAGACAGCAGCGAATATCAGAAGATGGAGAGATATGCCAGGGAAGACGGTTTACTGCAAGATCCCATTATATCCATCAGCAGAATACAAAATGTGGACCTCTGGGAGTTGTTTTGTAGGTAATGTAAACGTTTCACTCCATATATAAACCATTTATCTATCTGTCTATCTATCTATCTATCTATCTATTTGTCTGTCCGTCCGTCTGTCTCTGTCCGTCCGTCCATCCATCCATCCATCCATCCATCCATCCATCCATCCATCCATCCATCCATCCATCCGTCTGTCTGTCTGTCTATCTATCTATCTATCCATCCATCCATCTATCCATCTGTCTGTCCTTCTATCTATCTATCTATCTATCTATCTATCTATCTATCTATCTATCTATCTATCTATCTATCTATCTATTCATCGGTCCGTCCGTCCGTCCGTCCGTCTGTCTGTCTGTCTATCTATCTATCTATCTATCTGTCCGTCCGTCCCTCCATCCATCTATCTATCTAGTCTGTCTGTCTGTCTATCTGTCCGTCTATCTATCTGTCTATCTATCTATCTATCTATCTATCTATCTATCTATCTATCTATCTATCTATCTATCTATCTATCTATCTATCTATCTATCTATCCATCTATCTATCTAGTCTGTCTGTCTGTCTATCTGTCCGTCTATCTATCTGTCTATCTATCTATCTATCCGTCCGTCCGTCCGTCCGTCCCTCCATCCATCCATCTATCTATCTGTCCGTCTATCTATCTATCTATCTATCTATCTATCTATCTATCTATCTGTCTGTCTGTCTGTCTGTCTGTCTGTCTGTCTGTCTGTCCGTCATTCATCTATCTATCTATCTATCTATCTATCTGTCCTTCCTTCCGTCCGTCCGTCCATCCATCCGTCCGTCCGTCCGTCTGTCTACCTATCTATCTATCTATCTATCTATCTATCTATCTATCTATCTATCTATCTATCTATCTATCTATCTATCTATCTATCTATCTATCTATCTGTCCGTCTATCATCTATCTATCTATCTATCTATCTATCTATCTATCTATCTATCTATCTATCTATCTGTCTATCTGTCTATCTATCTATCTATCTATCTATCTAACTATCTATCTATCTATCTATCTGTCTGTCTGTCTGTCTGGAAATCTATCATCTATCTATATATCCGTCCGTCCGTCCGTCC